GTTTTTAATCATTTATATGAATTCTTCATTTTTATTTATTAGTATTTTTTAAAAATAATTATTTTTACTTTATTCTAAAGAAAGTAATTTCATTAAGTCACTATTTGGAAATTTGAACCCTGTAAAAGCTTAGCTTAGTGCTCTAGGAAAAATAATGTACTTCAAACTCTTTTAAATTAATATACAACTTAATGTCCCAGCTAAAAGTAATCTTAAATATAATTTATCAAAACTCCTGCATTCGTAAATAAAGCTTTTATATGATTGCCTTATGCAATCACAGCTGTTATAGATGGCAAAGTAAACGTCCATAAAAATTATAGATTTATACATTTAATATCTCAAACTGTAACATTCAGCGCTCAATCAACAATCTATCGGGCGCATCAATCAGGCAAATAGTGGAGCGAAGCAAAATCACAGCTAAAGCGATATGAAAGAGCAATAAAGCAAAAGCACTAAACAGAGTCAACATAACCTCAATTTGCTTATAGTGGCATAAACTTGGCTAAATACAATATAATATGGTTGGCAGCAGAGAATGACAGAGAGAGCGAGAGAGAGAGAGAAAGCAACGGAGACAGTAAGAAACTAATCAAGCTGAACTACAATAAGGACGTTGGACAACAAAAACAAGAAAAACTTGGACATAATAAATAGAAAAATAGAAAATGATGATGGAAAATTATGACTTAAGTTGGCGACGTCGTCGACGCCGCTAACGTGAACGAAAGTCATTTGTAAAACAGACAACAAAACAACAACAACTGCAAAGTGTTTGTGCCATGGTCAGTTGTGGTCATTAAGGCTGCAAAGTTGTTGCTTTTCAGCTTTTTTGGTATCCTCATATTAATAATAAATATTTATTCAACATTTGCCGTCGCTGCTCCCGACAAGCACGCAGCCATTGAAAATGTGCGAAATTTAACGGGCACGCAAATTGTTAATATTTCATCAGCCAGACAGTGGAGTCATCATCAAGATGGCTTAGACTATTAAAAAGATAGTACCATAACGATTGGCATTGAGAGAAATGATTTAACTGCAAATGCATACTGAAAGCCTATGAGGCATTTCCCTTACAATCTGTGGGTAACAATTTATGACTAAAAGGTTTTATGAGCTTCTTCATAGAAAACAAACTGATTATTTTTCTATAAGTCTTATGCCTAACTTAGGTGGGTCAAGGAAAGGTTAGGATAGTCAGAAAAAAATTAGTTTTACTTTTCTTTTGATAAGCGAAGCTCTCTTCTTCATGTCTTTCTAAAGTTCATAACATTTAACTATGTTTTCCATGAACATGCATTATAATTCATGATCAAATTAGTAGTTATCATGATCAAATTAGAAGTTATCTTAAGAAGATTTTAGTTATTGGAAATAGTATTACTTAGTCAACCAAGCAAAATATTAAAAATCAAATAATAAAATATTATATTATTATATGAAGACTTTTTTCTGAATAGAAAAAGTAAGCAAGGTCCAGTTGGGACTGTCAGACTGAAAGATACATTGTACGCCAATCAAATTGCGTGCTAAATATGCATATGGATACGTCGCACACACATTTTTATGCATTATGTAAGCGATGTAACTTGAGCTGCGCCTACTTTCGGGGAATCTACAAAAATATTTAGGTCTGTAGCTTTTGAGGATTCAGGGATTTTTAAGGTTGTTATGCAGCAGTAAAGTTTGTAAATTGATCAAAAATGATTCAATTTAGAAACATTGTTTGTTGTTGTTAGTTTGTTATTTTTTATTCAAAATATATTTGATATAATGTATTAAATATATTATTAAACTTTTAACAACTTCATTGAAAGTGCCTGCAATGCAAATAGTCTCTATGATAATTTACAATGTACATCATTATTATTTTTTCTGTTTGTCAACCAACAAGTTGGATCCCATTCCCTCGTGCTTCGTTAAAGTTTAAAACTTCCTCGCATCTCAGAAGAGAACAAAAAAAGAAAGAAGCAAAGTCAAAACACAACTCTCTATGTTATGCATATAGCCCCAACGAGACGCTGGCCTCGTACCCAAACTGGAACTCAAAGCCGACCCAATGGGAGAAATGGGATTTTCAAACATATCGCATATACAAAATGCAAACATGTCTGGCAAACACAAATCCCATAAATGTTCTGTGTGTGTGAGTTTTTGAGTGTGTGGGACCTCCTCCTGTTCCAGCCATTGAAGGGGTCTTTGGCATAGTGATAAAAACTTGCAAAAAATATTTTCATATGTGAAAATGTGTAAAGTGTAAAAGTTTCTAACGTGCTCGCCTTTTTTTTTATTTTGGTATTTCCTTTTTCCACATTGTTTGTGTTTTGTGTATTTCTGTTTGCAATGTCTGACTGTCCAAATGTCTGTCTGTCTATCTATCTGTCGCTGTGTGAGCATCAGGTGCTGTGGCAAAAGAAATTACAACAAATCCATTTGTGAAATTGCAAACCGAGACAAACCACGACCACGGCCACGACCACGACGGAGATGATGATGACGCCTCCGCCAGCAGCGCTTATCCGGTTGCCTTTGATGCTGCACTATGTGTGTGCCTGTTTTTTTTTGTTTTGGTTTTCATCTCATTTTTGGCTGCTCTTTTGCCTGGCACTGACAGCACTTGCTGGAGCACTTTAAGAGCCGTGTATACGTAGATGCTCTCGTAGCTGGTGACTGCTGGCTGCTGGTTGCTGGCTCGGCCTCGGTGCTAACCAATTACATGGCTGGCCAGGGCTCCGCCTGTCATTATGCACTCAAAAATCAAGATGGAAGGCACTCGCTGCCTGTCATTTGCCTGGCCAAGCATTCATCTTACTAAAGTTGGCCAGTCAGCAAGGCCCAGTAATGCCCTTAGAACCCAGCCAGTCTCGGCAACTCCTGAGCCTTCTCCTTATCCCAAGCCAAGCCAAGCCAAGCCAAGCCAAACCAAGCACAGCGACAAGACATTCATCAATTTGTTAAGCGAAGCCGAGCAAAAAAGCGAAATTGAAACGAACATTTTTCGTGCTGCCGTTGCAGCTGGCATATAAATTTGCAAAACTAAGTGCAGTGCCTGCCAGGCTTGTTCGTGTCCGTATCCGTATCCGTGCACAGCATTTACAAAAGGCAAAAAAAAAGTGGAAAAAACGAAACTCTGCCAAAGGAGTTGGTAGACTGCTCGAGTAGCTAGGTGTGCAGCCAGGTGGGCTGCCAATATTTTGCCCTTTTTCTCTCCGTTTTGTTTTTGCTGCTTGCTCGATGCGTTGCGAAGCGGAGCCACAATGAAATGGCCAACAACTGAGCTATAGGAATTTGAGCCATGCATAGTTGGGAAGCTACTGTTGGCAACTACAGCGACTGCCACAACTCGTGATTGTCTGGGCAAAAGTTGAGGCCAGGCTACAAAATATGCCTCAGCTTTAACGCTTTTTAACAAAGTCTGCAAAGTTTTGCGGCATAACAGTCAGACGAGAACAGGCAAAAAAACTCTTGTAATGTCTAATAAAATTTTATATTAAACAGAAACAGCTGAAGCTGTAGCAAAATGTATTGGGAGATGAAAGCAAATTATGTAATATATGATGAATTTTATTAGAAGTGATAGCATAAATTGCTAATCATAACTTTAGACATATTTCTTTAGGGGGTTAAATTGTTACGTAAGTTGTCAGATTTTTTATTTTTTCTTGGGTTTGCGTGTGGAATTTAAAACATTTCTTGATTCTATTGTTGAACTAGCTATGAAATAGTTAAAGATCTAAGCCAAATTAAAAATTAAGAAACCGCTTTTGCGCTTACTTTATATAGTTACCAAGCAAATTAAAAACATTTTAAGTTTTTAAACACATTCAGCTCGTTTTTTAGAATAATGTGAAAATGAAATTGTGGAAAAATTAGATTTGATTTTAAATAAGTATATAGATAAGTATACATATAAGTATACACAAAAGCAGCGTCATCTGCCTTCATATGAATACGAACTAGATAAGTATTATATAATAAATGAATGATAATCATAAACACCATAAAATGTTATTTCCTAAAAGTGATAAACATTGACTAAAAGCATTTTGTAGCCGTTCCTAACTGAAAAAGTTCCATGTGTTAGAGTATTTTTTAGTTGGGCAATCCCCAGCAAAGCACTTCAAAGTTAAATGTGCTAAAATTTAAATGAATTGATGAAATTTTATAAGTTAGCGAACCAATTGTAAAGTGCTTTATATAGTATACACATACAGGTAGTAAACAATCTTTATGAGATGATCAATCGGAATTTATTGACATTTAATACCAAAAAAAAAGCTAAACAAAATTCGCTTTGACCAAATGAAACTTTGCTGAGCGTATTTGTGATGGACTTGATGCCTGGCACAGAGCAATGGAGCAAGACAAATACTAAGTGATATTTTATACTAAATATGCGCAACAATTTATAGAGCTCACGACGTCGTTTTTTTTCTTTCTTTTTTTGGGCTCCGAAAGTTTGGCGCCTGAAACAATAAATGCAACTCGAAACGCACAACTTTTTGTTTCGCTAAAACCCAAATGAACCTAAAAGTTCTACTGTGCCATTGCCTAGCTACCTGCTGCCGTGTGGTTACACTTTGGAGCAAAGTGAGAGAGAGTAGCTGCAGAGGCACACGTTAGTTTGGGGAATTGCAAATAAATATTTCAACTGCAGTTGCAGATTATTTTAGTGCTGCGACTGCTTCCAAACTAGAATGAGAACTCTCCAAATGTTGGCCCAACAAAAATGTAAAAAAAAAGAAATAGAAAAGATACATATATATAAATATATATATGTATATCAAATGGAGTACGTGGAACGTAGCAAACAAAGCCAAACTGCTGAGACAAGGAGAAACAACTCAGCTTAGATTTCTCCGGGGAACCATGATAAAGTGTGCACCATGGCAAACGGCATAATGAAGACAAATAGATAGAGGAGAGTTTTGCTGGCTTGGCTTCTGCCATGGATAATTTCAATTTATTTGCCTTCGATTCTCAGCTGTGTGGTGTACAAAATGCATACGGCCCGGCCTGCAGTGGGCTTACTTTCGATTCTGATTGTAGTTCCTAAAGTAGATGCCGGCAACAGCCTCCTGGAAGCGTCGGCGTTTCTTGTCCTGCATCAGGTGAGAGAGCAAATTCTTGGTGCTCAGGCCACGCGTTGCCTGGCGCTCCAACAGAGTCAGCTCATCCTCGTTTGGCTCCTCGTCGTCCTCTACAACGCCATATTCAGCCAGTGGTGCTTGGGCTGCCGCTGGTGCGGCTGCTAGCGCCGATTCGTTCGCGTCCGACTCAGGTTCCAGCGCGTTTAGTCCTTGTAGAAGCTCAATAAGCGGCACCGATTCACGTCGAAAATATCCGTTTCTGAAACTAAAACCACCACCAGCTGCACGAGCTGCAGCAGGTGCGGCAGCAGGAAACGTAAGATTCTGGGCATTGTTCGGATTGACGATTATCACTGAAGGATTGCTTCCAAAATCAGGAAGTCCAGGAATTCGCTGTGGGGGGAATGGGTAATAGTCTTGCCAGTAGGGACGACGATTTCTATCCGAATCCTGGTTCGGCTGCACTATAATGATGGGTTGCTGCGGAGTATTATCTGGGCGTCTATTCCAAAGCAGTAGGCGTGGCTGAATCGCAGCAAATCCTAGAAATAGGAATAGCAAGCATTTCGTATAAATGTAAATCGAATCCAAGAGAGATCTCAAAGAAGTTGTAAAGTTAAGGAAACCAGCTTTCATGAGAATTTTTAAAAATATATTATATATTAATATATCTAAACAGTTCAGCGGGGATATTTCTCAAACAACTCTCGATTGAGTTAGGTATCAATTTCAATGGAACAGAATTGCCATGTCAATTCTTATGCTCCCTTTACTTACCCGCCCTATTGCCAGGAGTCTCGGCGGACTTCGTTTGCCCAGCTGCGGCAAAGACCACACAAATAGTTAGAACCAGCAAACTTGGTATAAAATGCTTAAACATCTTGGTAGCTTCAGTGAGGACTGATGACTGTGCTTTAAGCAGCGATCCACTGCGGCTTATATAGCAACTATAAGTAGTTGCCATAGGAAGACCTAGGAGCAGCACTTTCTAAGTTCTTTTCTCCGTTCAAGGGCCAATTCGCTATAATTTCGCTGGGGCATCAAGTGCTAATTCAATAGATGATCTATTTGGCCGAGTGCTTGTTAATATTATCGCCTCGTAAATCAATTTCAAAGCAATACTCGCTGTCGGCTGCCTGCTTGGCAGTCTGTTTATTGCAATCGTAAAACGTTTCGGAACTGGCCTGTCTCACAATTCATGGGTTTTGTTCATTTGGCGCAGCTCTTTGACCGAGTTTATGTTTATGTTTTGCATTTGCCTTTTGCCCGCTTTCATGATCGAGTTAGCATTAAGTTGATAGTCCACACACAGACTACATTTTGGACACATCGTCTGCCTCGCCTGCCTAATTTGTTTAGTTTACGAGCTGATCAGATATTTACGGCCTGCAATTGTAGGCCGTTCCGATAATTTGCAGATCTGCCAGAGTCCATTGGCCTCAACGACGCACTGTGTACATTGAACTTGAGAAATTCTGCGTCTCATCTGGACCAAAAGGTGCGTCAGACCAGCACACACGTGAGCCAATTAAATCAGAAGAATCTTGCGTCAAGTAGAGGCTGTTGCCATGGCATATGCCAAACATAAATGTGAAAGCGGCGAATGAAATGAAATCGAACATTTGAAACTGGTAAAAGTTTGATTTATCTTATTTTGTTATATTTGCATCAGGAATTTCTATAAGCACTTGGTGGGGTTAGATGGAGGAAGACTTAGCTTAGAGCTACGATAATCTTGCGAAGTAGTTTCAAGCCTATTCTAAATATTGAATCTCGATTCATCCTGCCGGAGATGAGTCCAAGAAAATTGTTTAAAATCCCTGTGTTTTCTTTTTGTCGTACAAAACCCAATCATTAGTAGTTGAGCTCCTGCTGTGCGTTCCATATCAATTTTCTCGTACGTTATCCCTATAATAAATCCATTTCCTTTGCTACGGCTGGGTAAACACTTGCTTGGCCCCACCAAGCACACTAAAAAGTAAATGGCAAACAGCAAATAATATCAAACAATATCCGTTGCTATATATGTATACGACTAATAAAAGTGAAAGCCGACATCATCCTGTACAATCAGAGACCTCGAGGCAACAATAAATCCTAGATACACAAAAAGTACAGCCAGCCGTACACCGATGTGAGGTAAATATTATTTAAAAAACCAAAACACGTAGGCAACACAAAGTACAAATCGCACTCAATCAAAATCACTTCGAGACCACAGCACAGACACACCACACAGGGAAAGCTTAAAAGATGAAATCCTCACAAAGTTGAAGAAGCTTGTAGGAGCTAGATACATCTACCTCACCCTCTCTCGCTCTCTCTGTCTAGGCCAGGCTGCTGGCAAAAATAAATAAAGAGCAAAAAATATAGCTAGCAACAATTGAAGCAAAGACAAATTCAACACAGATAACTGTCATGTACGAGGATTTAACAGATTTAAATTCTATTTGGCAAACGCTACATGGATTGTGTCAGGACATCCTTTTTGGGTGGCCCGCACAGGGCACGCTCCGAGTGCTGTCATTTAATATTGACCAAAGGCTTGCCTTGCCCCGCTCGCTCCCTCGCTCTGTGTGTGGGCTAATGCGCTTGCCACGCCATGTGGCAGAGTTGTAGCTTTGTTGAGCTGCAGTTGCTTTATAGCTGGCCAGCCACTTAGCCCACATTAAGAGGCGCCTCGTTGTAGCTGGCCATGTGCAAATATTTATCGATTGGCATGACAATCCAATTCGTTATGCTTAAAACTACGGGCGCCATGTGTCCAACTGCCCCACGAGGTGCCAATCCACACACACTCACAACACTCAACGGGCGTTGGGAGTTGGGTTGGCAGCTGCCCTTTTTTGTGATATTAAATGAAAAATCAGCACATCCAGCACCTGCCCAAGCTAGTGCCACGTTTCGGGCTTGGCCTATTTTGCATACGTGTGTGTGTGTGTGTGCCAGCATTTTTACGTAAATTGGCAGTTAAGACAGATTGGCCAACGACTGGACACAAGTGGGTGTTCACGAGAACCTTAGCTCAATTGGGCCCTGGCAGTTGTTTTGCCAGCAGCAACAGCAGCAGCAGCAACTCGGCTAACAAGTGTTTTTGTGGTAGGCTCAAAGCTAGGCCTGGCCACTGACTGTGCCTGCTGTCTGGCTCTTAATTAAAGTTCATGTGGACAGTACGTGTTAATCTGCTGAAAAGTGCAGGCGGTCACTGTGTGACTAGACCAGATCTAAGTACAAGGACTAAGGACTTAGTTATAGCACACAAGTACCAAATAGATTAACTCGGACTTTGGCTACGATTTGGTATTAGCACAGATACAAATTGCCACATTTCAGACTTACAAGCTGAGCGACAACATATTACTCAATAATCCAAGGCATCATTTGCATAGTAAAATCTTTGAATTTGTTGTTTTATTGTGCTCAAATGGAATGAATTTATATGTGGAGTATTTTTGTATAATGTTATTTATTTTTTAAGACTTCAGCTGAAGTGTGGCACATTGAGGCAGATAAGGAGAAGGACTATCTCATAGTTTCTGCTTATGCTTAAATGTAGTTTTATCTTTATCATAGATCTAAATATTTAATCAAAGCAATTTAAGCCTAACTATGGATTGTTTTCTTTAGAGTTACTGAAGTTTTGATCTTAACAAAGTATATCAATATATTTTTAATATCAATGAAATAGGTTTTGTTGAATGGACAATGATATTTCTTTTTTGTTTAAATATAAATACGAATATGAAAATATTTAAAAAGACGCAATCTGGAACACACATTTCCATATCATCGCACATAAACCATTATGTTGTTAACATTTTCAAACATTTACAAATATTGCTCTAGTACCAGTCTAAGCACAATGTCAAACCAAACTCAACAAAAAGCAACTATTAAGTTAAGTGTTAAGTGTGTTGCCAAATGAAGTAGTTTACTAACTGAAAGACGTGGGCCAAACTCTAAAAGGAAGAATAAAACGATCTTAAGTTTTTAAAAAGAGTTTATCTATGGCAATTAATCTTTGACTAATTGCTTTATAATATAATTTGATAAAATGATAAAATAATATTATAATATGACTTTGAAATGAGTTTTCTGCGAAGCGAGAAAAGCTAAGCCCAAAAGCTACAAGCAAGCACATGCTATCACTTATTGCCTATGGCTTGAGCATTTTAATTTTTAAATTCATATTAATTTCATTTTTAGAAGAATTTTCAATGAACCCGCCAAGGGGCAGTTCCAGGTATTAAAAGCTTAAGCAAGTTCTAACAAACTCATATAAATTGAAGTATTAAATATTAAGTATATTTTCGTATAGAATAAATTATACGTATATCGTATGTTATATCGTATGGGAATATCGTAATGGTTGTTTGATATAAAACACTAACAATATTGCAACCATTTAAAGGCCATTTTTGCTTAATTAAAGCAGTAAAATAATTTAAAAAAATATAACGGAATATATGTTACTGTTAGGCCCAAATATTGTGTTTTTTTAATAAAATAATAATATTAAGTATACCACACGCATGCAGAGAGAACTGATAAGGCACCATTTGGTACGTCTTTTAAATAATTTCTTCGATCGGCTGCGACGAAATCAGCAGCATCAGTGGCAGCAGCTTCAGTGGCAGCAGCTTCAGTGGCAGCTGGCTGCTTGAGTGACATTTGCTGTTTCGACATGGCCAAGTTGCCTTGGAAAAAGGCATTTCCAGCCATTTCCGCTGCGTTACGTGTGTGCGTCTGTGTTTTGTGTCGCGTTGCCATTAGGCATCCGCCACTGGACAGCACCAGCCTCCTTTAAGCACAAGCAGCAGCAGCAGCTCTCAGCTGCCACTCAGCACAAATTTTCGGCAGCATGCTTTTCCGGTTTGCCAACGCAGCAGCAGCGCGGCTGCTCGCATGCTTTTCTGCTGAGAGCGAAGCTGGCCCATTTGCTTCCTGCTGCTCGAAGCCAAACCCCTCAGGATCACTCTAGTTCAATAAGGATTTCCGTTTCAATTCGTGCGCTGCGCCATTGTTGTGCTCGAAACTCGCTGTCGCTGTCGCAGCTGGCGTCGCAGCCGCTGCTTTTGCTGGCGCTTGTCCATTTTTCGCTTATCGAATTTTTCACTTTGACGACCTTTTCGGGGCGCAGGCTCAACTTTTTACACTTTTAGCAACAAAATTTCCTTGGCCCGCTGCTCTTTGCCTTTTATTATTTATTTATTTATTTTTGTGCTGATTTCATGCGTTTGCCTTGCGACTTTTCGGCTGCTTTTTGTGCTTGATTTGCTTTCCAATTTTCAATGTGTCACTTTATGAGCGGGACCATTAATCAAAAACAAAAGCAACAAAAAACTGGCGAACCTGAAAAGAGCGTCAAGAAATTATTGCTTAAATAAGCGTGTTTTTTTCTTCATACTTACATATATATATATATATACCATGGGGAGGCCTTGTGAACTGGGGCGACCGCAAAAATACTCTGAGTTGGCAATTCTTAAAAGTTGTTGCGCCCTTCCAACCGCTACTTGCGCTTTTCTTTATTGATTTTGTATTTTCATGCGTCATTTGGCGGGCGTTTTGCATGCAACATACAAATTGCCACGCCTCACTGAAGGCATCGCAGCTGAGACAGTCTTGAGTGCATAATTTATAGAGTTTAGCCACATTCTAAAAACAACAAATCAATTAGAGCGAGAGCCTGGGAACGCGACGCTGTTAAAGACTGACTCAACAGCTCAGTTCAATGTGTAGAGGGTACTTGGGACAAAGCAAAGTCGAAATAGGAGGATAGAAGAGGAAAGATATATGATAGAAGAGGGAAGATGGAAGATGGAAGATGGAAGATGGGAGATGGAAGATGGAAGATGGAAGATGGAAGATGGAAGATGG